TCCGTCTCTCCATCTATCTGTCCATCCATCCATCTATCCGTCTCTCCATCTATCTGTCCATCCATCTGTCTGTCCGTCTCTCCATCTATCTGTCCATCCATTCAACTATCTATCCATCCATCCATCTATCTGTCCATCTCTCCATCTATCTGTCCATCCATCTGACTATTCATCCATCCATCCAGCCATCTGTCCATCCATCCATCCATCATCCATCCATCCATCCATCCATCATCCATCCATCCATCCATCCATCTGTCCATCCGTCCGTCCGTCTATCTCTCCTCTTCACACTGATTTTCATCTATCTATCTATCCTTCCATCCGTCCGTCTCTCCTCTTCACACTGATTTTCATCTATCTATCTATCCATCTATCCTTCTATCCGTCTATCTGTATATCTGTCCATCCGTCCATCTCTCCTCTTCACACTGATCTTCATCTATCTATCTATCCTTCCATCCGTCCGTCTCTCCTCTTCACACTGATCTTCATCTATCTATCTGTCCATCTATCCTTCTATCCGTCTATCTATCCTTCCATCCGTCCATCTCTCCTCTTCACACTGATGTATGTTGGTTCTTTCAGGTGTTCCAGTCAAAGTCACGCATGTTAAAGAAGGAAAGTCCAGAGACACGGCGCTGGAGATCTTCTGCTATCTGAATGAGATCGGGTGAGCAGAACCTGCTGCCGTGCATGAAGCTCGTTAGAGTTCAAACTCCGTACTTACAGTCATGTCTTCAGGAGTGAGCAGCTGATCAGAGCTTGTGTTTCAGAAACGTCAGCTTGTATCCATTCATAATCAGCCATGTAAACGTACAAATGTCATTTGGTACAGTAAGTGTATGTGCATTTGTATGTATTTATTGATCAATAACCCACTCTCTGGTTTCTCAGTGGAAAGCATGGTGTGGGGAGAATCGATATCGTGGAGAACCGCTTTATTGGAATGAAGTCCAGAGGTACGAATCTCAATTTATTTTACAGTCATGCATTCATCAGATTTTTTATCCAAAGCAACTTACAGTGCCTTCAAGGTAAACATTTGATCAGTTCATGCATTCACTGGGAATCGAACCCATGACCTTGGCGTTTCTAGTGCCCATAAATGTCCATATATGAAACATATTGTCATATGAACTAAAAACATAGAAACTGGAATAATTTCATATATTAGCATACATATCTAGCCCATACAAATATGTATGTTAATGTACGTGTAGTAAAATGTTGGGCGTATATTTCTTGTACATGTATATCTATCCTAAAACCTGTCAATACATGTAAATGCATTACAAAAACATGTATAAATATACAGATTGTTTGTGTACATGTTTTAATATTGCCTTGCAATGGTTTTTCAAAGTACAGAAATTATTATAAAATTGTCTTATTACTATTATAATAGTGTAGGAATATTAATGTATTATTATTATCATTATTATTAATAATAACGTATGTATTAAATGACACACTTTTTTAATATACAATTATTTTTATAAAAAATAATTTTGTAATAGATAATAAAAAAACAAAAATGCAGAAATTATAATAATTATACTCCTATGTCATACAATGTAGGAATATTAATTATTATTAATCAAAATTAATTAGAAACTATGTATTACATTATACACGTATTTTAATATATAATAATTAGTATTTATTGTTTTGTAAAAAATATATATATAATACAGAAAATATGATACAATTATATTCATGTCATAACAATGTAGGAATATTAGTTATTATAAACAAAATAAATATTAAATTATAACACATTTTAATATATAATTGTTATATATATATATAATCATAATATTTTATAACTAAGATGGAAGAATGCCGTTTTTGTAACATGGGAAATATGATTATTAGCACAGGAATATCATTTAGTCATAATTTCTTTACTTTGACACAGTATTGCAAGGCAGAAATGGTGCAGAAATGGCTTTTAATTTCTGATCATCATCGCTGAAGCTTGCACTGATGTTTGATGTTTGTTCAGATGTTGGCGAAAGCTTTTCCTCGCTTTCGTCAAACACTTTCTGAAGAGCCGCGTCTGAGATGAATAAGTCGCTGTGTCTGGATTGTGTTTGGGTCTGATTGGCCAAGTGTCTTCCTCCACTGTCTCCGGAGTGGTTGTCTTCCCCAACGGTTCACAGAAGATCAGACCTATTCTTCTGAAAGTCAGCGTTTAGGATGTTCTCGGACCCTGACAGGCTGTGTTTATGTGACACGGTCCAGCAGAAGGAAGTGAACTAGCGCTTGTGCGTGTCACGCTCACTCAGACAGAACAACAAATCAGTGCAGAACCCGCTGAACTCATCCGTCACGTTCACAAGGCAGGAGTTATTTGATCGTCTCATGCATTCATCATGCATTTTCTGATTCTCTAAATGTTATCATAACTCTACAGCATCAAAAGAAATTAATGTTCATCAAGGATGCATTAAATTGATCAAAAGTGACAGTAAAGATATTTATATTACAAAAGATTTCTATTCCAAAAATTAAATTAGCACTGGTCCTCTCTTAACACAGGCTTAAATCGTGATTTTATCTATTAAAAATTAAAAAGAAAGTAAAAAATAAAAACGAATTCAACTGTAATATTCTGGAGGTCATGGTGATGATGTTTTTAGTTGACATTATAAAGGCTGGTATTTCTATAAAGATACACGTGTGTGATTATAGAAAACCATTCATACAATTATTTAGCTTTTATTTCTTTGTCTTGATCAAAATCTGCTAATATTTACAAATGAAGTCGATTTTACTTTTTGAAAAATCACCATGTAGTGAAATAGTTAAAATCATGATTTAAGGCAGCGTATATTAATGTGGGAATAGTGTTTAGTATTATTATATACTACTATAGTTTTTATTCATATTTTGAATTAGCTTTAATTTGTTATTTTTTAATTTTTAAAATATTATTATTTAGGTTTATTCTATTTTAGTTTTATTTCTAGTCATTTTAGTGCTTCAGCTTTTTAGCTGCCAATACAACTTTTCACATTTTTATTTAGTCTAAGTTTTTCAACTAATGATTTCAGCTTATTTCAATGAACACAGATGTGTGTAATAGTTTTGGTGAAAAAGGCATGTGTCGTGTCGCGGCCTCAGGCTTGAGTTATTAAGCTCTTTAAATCAGGTGCTGGTGTGTGTGTGAGTGTTTGTGAATGTGTGAATGTGTGT